CGGCCAATCCCTTCTTTCCCCAACCAGAAACCGTCACTCCCCCTTTCCGCGTTTTTTCGTTTTTCCGGGGGGCCGCAGAATGGGTGGAACCAAGGTTCTTGCCCCCCCCCCCCAAAACCCCCCCAAAAACCCATCAAACCCCCCTTCAAAGGCAGGAAGCAGCCAGAGCCCAGACCCCCCAAACCCAACACTTCTCTCTTCTTGTACGACCATTTTCTGTCCGCCCCTTTACTGTTCGCCCCCAAATCCCTTCTGCCTGCTGGTCTGCCCCCTTTTTTGAAGCAGCCCTCTACAGAAGCCCTTTGCACCATTTCTCTGCAGAACATGGCGCGATCTCCAATGGGGCAAAATGACTAGTACATCCACCGTCGAGGGGGCGTCGACCCCCGAAAGCCCGGCCGCCTTCTTCTGTCCCCCTCCTCCCCTCCTTCCCTGATGGGGGGGGGCGGCCCTTGCCTGCCCATCCATCTCATATTACACCCCCCCCCCCTACTGTTCCTCCCCACCCCCCAAGCTGCGAACGACGCGAACGACCTCGGACTTGTCTGCTCCCCTTACTCGAGCTCGTCTGCTCCTCTTACTTAAGCCCTCATCATCCATTCACTCTTTTGTCACATCGTCTCTCTCCTTGTGTCTCCCCCCCCACCTTGCTGACACATTCGCTTCTTGCAGACGGCCAGTTTCGACACCAACTCGAGATCCTGAGCACGCTCGGCGCATCGAACCCCACCACCGGCGCCGGCGCGCAACCTCGCGGTCCCCAGCAGCCTCCCAACGGCCAGCCGACTCACGGCTATGCCAACGGCGCGACTTCGCCTGCACCAGACGGACTGCCCGCCAGCAATAACAACAACAACAACGACCCGGAAGCCCACATTCACCCAGACCTCAGGGCCCGAACCAACTTTGCACCCCCCGCGACCAACATGATGGCCTCCGCTATGCCCCCTCCTGCCGTCTCACCCGGCGCACCACCCGCCGGCCCCTCCACTGCGCCGCCTCCCATGCAGCAGATTCAACCTCATCCCGCCCCTGATGTCGGCGGCGATCCAATGTCCATCGACGACGGGTCAGCCGATGGGCGCAAGGCGAAGCGCGAACTCTCCCAGTCCAAGCGCGCCGCCCAGAACAGGGCCGCTCAGGTACGTCGTGTCGCCATGCCTGCGCGCATCGCATCGGTCTCCCAGTGCAGCTGACATGCTAACACCCTGCACAGCGAGCTTTCCGCCAACGAAAAGAGGGCTACATCAAAAAGCTCGAGCAGCAGGTTCGTGATTTTATGGACATGGAGTCCCAGTATAAGCAGCTCCAGTCAGAGAGCTATGCGCTTCGCGAATACGTCATCCACCTGCAGTCGCGCATGCTCGACACCCAAGGCGAATACCCCCAGGCCCCGCCCAACGTCAACCTCAACCAGCCCCCACCGCCTCACCTCGCACAGGGTCCCCCGGCCCATCAGCTCCAAGGCCCCGACGCCATTCCCGGCTCGCAGCCGCCCCACGCCGTCCCGGAGCAGCAACATCAGCAGCAACATCAGCAGCAACATCAGCAACAGCAGCAGCAACAGCAGCCGCCGCAGCAGCAGCCAGAGCCCGTCCAGCAGCAGCCGCTCCCAGCCGCCACCGCGCCACCGCCCGCGCCAACGAACGACTCGGCTGTCGGCACGCCCCTCGAGGCCGTTGCGCAAGCCGTCGCTGGTCTCGCAGCGCAGGAACAGATGGCCGAGCGCCAAAACTACTCAGGCGCTAAGGACTATCGCCCGGACGCCGACGTTGAGATCAAGCCCGACATGGATACCGACCCCCAGCTGCGCGATGACAGCATGCAAGCCCCGACCGCCTCGATGTAGGAGTATCCAGATCCGGACTCGGGGTAGATGACCATGCTGTCTTGTGTCACTCCCCATATTTTTTTGCGCGTGTTTTTAATGCTGTTCCGGCGTTGCGTTGAGGGGCAACCGATCGTGTGCTTCCCCCCACCCCTGTCTATTTGCTAAACTGAATTGGAGAACGGCGTTCCTATTGCTGGGGGGGTTCAGATGGGGCTCGAGTCTTCGACGAGGCGGATGCGCTTGCGTCCACGGGCCTGGCTTTTCGAAAACTGTCGAGGCTGGAGAAGATGTATGGGCGGACGGGCTTTGCGCAAGGCATACCCAGTGTTTGATAGTCAGTGCTGCTCTTTCAAGACGGCCAGTTAGCCATGTCACCAATTCTTTCCTTTTGTTTGCCCCTGCTGTCGTTGTTCACGTGCCATGGACGAATCTGGCACATGGCAGAGGGAAGCGGTCAGCGTGTTGTCCAGGGCGTATGCCGTCGGCGGCAGCGGAAGAGCTGCGGGTCGTCGCCCGAACTGTGGAGACAATGCCGACGCTGCGGCCGCCGTCTTGGACAGCCTGCCTGGCGGCGCAGGTCGTGCTGGGTACCCGGTGGTCGGACGCCTCTGGGGTGTGTTCTCGCAGATGGGCCGGAGATCACGACTGGAGGGTCTCAAGGACGCCATCTCCCAGGAGCTATTTCTCATCACCGCCCGCGCTGTCGTGGGCTTGCCGAACGCGGATGAAGTCGCTGACAAGGTTGCCGAGAAGGTTACTGATAAGGTTGCTGACAAGGTCTTCAGCACGTTGTTCGCCGCGATGGGGCACCGGAGGCAGGTCATGCGTCAGGGAGGCCTAGAGAGCGGCGCTGCTGCAGGATCCAGGGCCATCGAGTACAGCCATGTCAACGACCAAGGTGATTGGATTGGACGCAACGTTCTCGGGGATGCCGAGAGGGCTACCGTGTTCGAGCTGTGAAATGTCCCCAGTCGCTATAGAGTTGAGTACATCCTTTGCCTCGATCTTTGTGTTCTGCAGACAATGGTGCGCTGGGGCATCACCACTGTCACAAAGCTGGAGGCAGTACATTGATTTACTGTATCGGGGCTTTTTGCCAGCCGACTGTTGATACAGTGAGTCGTACAATGCGAGCGAGGGCGTGCGGGTCTGGAGCTGCGGGACCCTCACGATATCGGAAGCACTGAACAAGAATCCTCGGGAGGCGAGCGATCGCTGACGAGGCGCTGCGATTCTCCTACGTGGACTCCTCGACCGGAACCCCCTACTTCTCGGGTTTCGAGTAACTGTCCCGTAGGTCAGGTCTAGAGAGACAGACATCTGAGCGTCTTGACGAATCTAGGAGTGCCTTCGTTGTGCGTCACAGAAGCATCGAACTGGACGCTCATCTGTTTGGTTGTGTTCTGACAAGTGCGATCTTTCAAAGGCCCGTCCAAAAACGTCTCCTGCACGATCTGGCACCTTGACATTTGGACTAGTGTTCACGGTCCTCCAGACTTGTTCTTCAGCCGTGAATTGATGGATCTCACAGCCAAGTACGTGTCGCGGGAGGTTGAGAGGCCTGAGTAGCAAACCACTCTGAACACAGAATACAAAGTGATTGGATACCTCACTTGGGGGCACACGGGGAGTGGTGAAGATGATTAGTCAGAACGGGGTTTGCTCTCGCAGAGTGCTTCCTGGAAGCTACTCTGCTCTCGATCTCTTCTGCTTGCTTGAAAATCGTCGTCCAGTGGCGATCCTCGGCGTCCGTATCCTGAAGTGCAGTTTTGTTATTGTTTAAACGCTTCCGCTGGGCGGTGAGCTCAGCGTATCGTGCACGTAGTGCCTTTGCTGTCCGCGAGAATGCCGTCTTGACCTAGTAATAGTCCACGATCTAGTCTGGCGGATACCGGTGTGTGTCTCGTGTTCCCGATGACGATGATGACGCCGATGTGGCTCTATGGCCTGTAGGTATTAACTGCCTGTCCTACGGGACTGGGGATAGTTTGCCGAAGGCTGAGACGATGGACAAGTCTGCTAGCGGATTCTTGACAGCTTATTCCTGATGATCCTCCGCCTAGTGGTATAGCTAGTACGCCTTGATAGCAGTTGCGTCTGATATAGGACTGATAACGGACTGGGCTGGGGACTATGATAGCGGACTTGGAACGTGGGCTTGGAGATGGGTTTGGGTGGTACCGGACTGGGGACTGTGATAGCGGACCTAATAATATCGGAATAGAGATTGGACTAGGAGATGGGCTTAGGTGATAAAGGACTGGGGACTGTGATGGCGATGGTGGACTCAGAGTTGGGCTGGGCTTGGGTGATAACGGAGATAATGGGCTTAGGTGATGATGGACTGGGGACTATGATAGCGGACTTGATAATGTCGGAATGGAGATTGGGCTGGGAGACTTGGAGCCAGTATCGTGTCTCAGATATCTATCTCTTCGTCTGATAACGGCAGACGGACGTCTAGTGATGACTATATCTGGTCTTGAATGGAAAAATTGGAATGGTATAATGGAGCGATCGGACGACCAGTTGCTACCATTGTTGGTTCATCCTGTCCCACAGATGGGGATGGCGATGGCGAAGTGGTGGTGTCTTCCGTCGTGGGGATGGGAGTGTCGTCAGGTTAGTCAAGGTAGAACTGTGATGAGATGTCATAGCGTGAGTCACCTGGAATATCCCAGTATACCAAGCGGCCCTGCAAAGAAAGGGCCCATCTCCGGGTAGCCTGGAGGCAAGCCATGGAAGGGCACCTGAAGCTCAGCTCGCTCAAGTCCCTAAAATGATGGCATCACAGCATCGTTCATGACAATGGAAATGACAACTCATGAGCATGTCTATAACACTAATTTCCACACGTGAATCATTGCAGGCAAACCACCATGGTGACAAGATTCTTCTAACCAAAATTCGAGTGCTCATTTTTGGGCCAAAAAAAGAGGAAAACAAACACTGTCGACACCCTCCCTTTTACGTCCTGCCCAACCCAAACTCCATACTCATACAGGGGGACAGCTGTTTCCCAAATCATGCTCCTACACACGCACAGTCAGTATTGAGCGCCTCGTCAACGAACATCGAAGCAGGAGAAGTCTCACCTTGAGGTACTCGTGCCCCTTTTCCTCGTACTCGGCCTTTGTCACGGCGGCGGCCTTCCACGCGTCGCCGCCGCTCCACTCGGCGGCACCCCTCCACGCATCGAGCAGCGGATCTGCCGCGCGACGCGTCCGCAGCGGCGCGCCCGCCGGCAGCAGTGCCGCGAGCCCGTCGCGCAGGCGCTGGTCAAAGTTCTTGAAGAGCGTGTTGCCGCCCGTCAGGAAGACGTCCTTCAGAAAGGCGTCGCTGCCGCCGACCTGGTCGACGAGGCGGTGGGTCAGAATGTCGCCCGTGATTTCGACGAGGCCGGCCTGGTCGACGCCGGCGATGGAGGGCCGGAAGACGACCTCGGGCACGCGGATGCGCTCGACGTTGAGGTGGATCTGGTTCGCCTCGGCCTGGGACGCCGTGTCAAAGGGGCGCGGCCCGCGGGCAAAGGCGTGGAGCATCGACTTGGACCAGTCGAGCTGGGCCTCGTGCGTGTGCTCGTAGGTGAAGTCCGGGTCGTAGCGGAGGAGGTCGTGTTCGTAGGACTTGAGGTTGGCCTGCAAATCTTCCTCCTCCTGCTCGTCGTCGCTGTTGTCGCCGACGGTGATGGTGCGGTAGACACCCCAGTCGTCGTCGTCGGCACCAAACGTGTCGTCGTTTCCGCCACGGCGTCGCTTGCGCGTGGGCTCGTCGGCGGCAAGGTTGGCAATGGTCTTCATGCGCGACTGCGAGGCGAGGGATTTACGGTTGCCGAGGTCCTGCTTAAGGCGATCACGCTCCTTCATCTTGAGCAGCGCGTCGGCGCGTTTCTGGCGGCGCTCGTCGAGCCAGCCCTCCAGGTCGTTCTCGCGGCGCTCCTCATCAAGGCGTTTTGCCTCGGCAATGCGGGCCTTTTCCGCCTCCTTCTCGGCTTTCGCGCGCGCGCGCGCGTCGTGGTTGGACTTGAGGAGGCGCTGCTGTCGCTTAGCTTTGATGCTGGCGTCGTCGAGTTGGTCGTCGGGAACGTCGAGGAGGTCAAAGTTGGGCGGCGCCTGCTGCTCCTCCTCCTCCTCGCCGCCGACGTCCTTGGTGCGGGCCTTGCGCACGGCCTTGTCGAGGACAGCGATCGTCTTCTCGAGGGCCGCCTCGTCTTTGAGCTCATCGGCGTCGAGCAGGCGGCGAACATCCTTCTTATTGGTGAGGGCCTCGAGACGGGACTGGAGCTTCTTGTAGTACTCGAGCTCCTCCTCTTTGCGCATGAGCTTCTCAAGACGCATCTTGGCAGCCTGCTGCTGCAAGCGGCGACCGCTCTCCTTCTTGCGCTCGGCAATCTTGGCCAGCTCCTCCTCCGTCTTCTCGATGATGACCTCCTCGGTGTAGGGGTACTGGATGACGACGTCGCGGTCCTCAAGGCCAGTCCAGTCAAGGTAGCCGGAGAGTTCGTTATCGTAGTCGGCAGAGAGATAGCAGTGATCGCGCACCATGTGCTCGGCCTGCGAGGGGCTCAGCTTGCCGACAAAGGCGGGATACTTGAGCCTAAGGAGCTTGAGGAGGTACTCGGCCGAGTGCCAGCCGCCCCAGTTCAGGCGGGTGGCTTGGGCGAGCATGGCCTTCTGGTTGTAGACGGGGATGACATGGGTCGAGGTATGGGACGAGGAGACGACGAGGCCGGTGGAGCCCTTGTTGTGGCGATAGGAGAAGAGCGAGTCGATGCCGTAGGCGACGGAGGGGGCGCCGTAGCACTCGAAGAGCGTCTCGTTCATGGCTGCCTGCGTTAGCTTGCCGTGCATTGCCGTAGTTTGGGGACATGGGAAGGCTCACTCTTGCGGACGTAGGAAAAGTTGGCGACAGCCTCGGTCATGACGATGGGCATGTCAATGTTGCCCTCGGCGCTGTTCATGCCGAGTTTGAGGAAGATGTAGTCGAGCACATGCTCCATGGCGTCCCAGTTTGTGACGACGCCAGTGCCCTGCTCAAACGCATTTCGAACGTGACTCCTCGAGTTGGCGTCGGCGTAGCAGTCGTTGCCGGCAAAGGAATACGTCTTGCCAGCTTTGCGATCGCGGTACTTGGACATGATGGGAGGGATGCTCATGCGCGGCTTGTCCTCAAAGGACCAGCCGGCGCGGACAGCATTGGAGCCGTTATCGATGACAATAGCGGAGGTGCCCTGAGGCCGAGCGAGAGCCTTCTCACGGCCGTCGTGCTGGATGGCCATGGGCTTGTCGAAGCGAGCCTCCCTCATGGGGAAGATGTTGGCTGGGGGGTATTCCCTAGGCGGGGGCAGTTTGGAGGCGGGAATGCCATCATCAGTCGCAGAGGGCGCCATGGCGGCGCTGGCGGCTTGGGGAGGGCGTTCGGATGCAGCAAGGGAAGCTGTCGTGTGCTCGATGGAAATGTGGCGAGGATGGCAGGCGTACAGAGAAATCGCAGAATCGTCTAGGGTGTCGACACTGTCATGCTGTGGAGTGAAAGGTAGAGAGGTTGCGTCAACAGACGTGATCGGGTGGATGGAGGCTGACAAGGCTTTCGTTGAGTTGGCATGTGCGATGGGAGGGATTCCGTGGGCCAATTGGCGACGCAAGGGTGGTTGCGCTTTGCGCTTCGTTTCTGTCTGACCAGGCGGAATTCAGTTTGTCGTCTGGCGATGCGTCGCGGTCGAGCTCCCACGTCGTCAGTCCTCTTGGACTAGCCTGCAACAGTAGGTACCTCTGTACCTGCCAAGGTACCTCTGTACCTGCCACAGTACAGTACCATAATAGGGTAGGCACCTCTGTACCTGCCACAATGAGGTCCCGGCAGGGTCGAACGTCCTGGACCCACGCCCAACCCGATAGACCCGCCACCAATGCACCCCCCTTCACATCCGCATGCTGAACCCCCCCCTTTGACCTCGTCTTTACACCACTTCTGCAATGCTGGCATATCTACTGCTTCAAGACTTCCTGATAATCATACGAGACTCGCTGACTCTATGAAGGGAGTAAGAAAAGAAAGACAACCCCACAAACGATTGTGCAGACACAGTATCGTCCGTCACCCTTCTGCTCCATGCATGCCTATACGACTGAGATGGCTGCGATGGTGCCCAACAGCGCAGAGCTCACAGCTCTGTGACAGCCAAACAATTCTTTTACGTGCTACACGACAGTCGCACCACTTTAGTCAGCTTATCTTTCGCCGCCGGGCGATCTGACATGCATGTCTCCAATGGCACGTTTACGGATGTCAGCCCTGTCGTGGCCAAGAGCCTGTCTCGACGCCGATGAAGAGGGTTGAACAGAACGGACATGACTCTTCAAGCCTTGCGAGGAAGATGCAAAAGCCCAGACGTTCTGTGTGTGAAGTCACGCCAGAATGGCAACGTACCAACAACAGAGAAGCAGGCAAAACAGCAATGACACCAATCGCAGCAGCCGTCGGTGAATGGGTATTTTAGTTTCCAGTATCTCATGAAGCTTGCAAGGCGCTTCGGTGTTTCATTATACAGGTAAGATGGTTTGTGACCATAACCCCGGGATTCATCCGTAGTCGCAATCTTGCGCCTTTGTACCTGGTCGGCACTTAGCTGCCCTTTCCAAAGACAAATGCTTCGTGAAACACACATGTTTGTGAAATCTCAAGAGGGAGGCTTGAGATTGTCCGTGGCTGGTAGATCGGTCAGAAACACTGCCGATATCTTGGCGGAGAACCTTACCCTCAAGGTGGAAAAGAACGTTGGACTGGTAGTTCTTGAACATCTGGGCCACCAGCTCGACGTTCATGTTTTGAATGTTGATGTCCTGGGAGCGCCGTGTTAGCATTGGCGTGGAAATTACTACTGAAAAGCTTCCATGAATACCTGTAGTGACTTGTTCATGACGACAATGGCCTCGTTCAGTTTCTCCTATCCATGCTGTCAATCACCCCGCAGGTTGTCAGGCGGGGCAGCCAGCACTCACAACATTGCCGATGATGCGCGACAGCAGCAGGTTCTGCTGATGCTCATGTGGGCTCTCCTGAAAAATCTGTTAGGGACTTCATTGGAGGGTCGCGCGCAACAAATGGCACTTACCATCTTCGTATGGTGTTGATGTGCTAGTATTTGTCGTGTTACGACCAAGAGTGACCGTTGTTATGGGGGGGTCTATTACATCCCGTGAAAACAGAAGGCGGTCATCGGCGGCAAAATAAGCTAGTACGAGCTTCGTGCCAGTCGTCAGTGCTGGCTCGCTCCCTTGTCGCCGAACACTCAACATCATCTGCAACTCGACCCCCATTGGCGCGCATCCTCAGGCTCTATCTTTCGCAAACACACTCGTCATACTCGACACGATGGCTGCCCCTACGGAAGCCCAGATTGCTCACCAGCAACTCCTGGATGACCTTGACATTCACGCAATTCACAAGTCCTTCCGATCTCCGTCCTGGCGCCCCAACCACCGCCGCAACAAGAATATCAAGACCATCTCCACCGACCTGTCCCGTAAGGAGGCCTCATCATCTGCCATCGCCACCCCTCAAGACGACTCTCCCGCCGCGACGCCTCTTCCTGGCGGCCTCTCCCCCAGCGGTGCCTCGACGCCCGCCGACGCAGCAAACGCCCAGCCGAACCTCGCCCAGGCATCACGCAGCTTGTCGAAGCTCGTGCTCGAAAAGACGCTGAAGCAGCAGCAAGGCGGCGGCCCAGGCGGCGCGACGGGCCCGGCGAGCGCAGCACCCAGCGCGACGTACACGAACATCGAGAGCGCGCCGTCCCTGGCCCACACGAAGCGGTACTGCGACATCACGGGCCTGCCCGCGCCGTATATCGACCCCAAGACGAGGCTGCGGTACCACGACAAGGAGGTCTTTGCGCTCATCCGAGGTCTGCCGCAGGGTGTCGCGGAGCAGTATCTCGAGGCGAGGGGCGCCCACACGGTGTTGAAATAAGCGGCGCGTGGCATCTTGGTTTGGTTTCGGGGGTCACGGATGGAGGGCATTCAGCATGGCGTTCACGGCAGTCCTTAGATGTACGGGCGAGGTCAAGGTACAATACAATACAAAGCATCACACGCGCTTGCTATGTTTTACCAACAAAGTCAAGCCCCAGCTACGCACCCGCGGCCTTTCGGCCGTGGGTTGTTAACTGACGCTCCGGCTTAATCGTGATACAGTTTTGCTCTTTGCCTGTGATGTGACAGATGCCCGAGAACGTATGGGAAAACGCGCTCGGATACCATGGCTTTGAGCCATGGTCGCCCCCGGCAGTGGATGGGAAAGCAAGATTGCGCTTGTTCCCAGGATGACAGAAGGTAATACTGGTCGGGTGAGTCTCGATGGGCAGGCTTGAAGCGGCTGCTCAGGGAGGTCAAGGCCTCAATGCGATCCTCAATCATAAAAGGACTCCTTTTCATCGGCTTTGCAGCTGAGTCCATCGCTGGCTCGCCTGCGCCCACTGAGCGGCTCATGAGCAGCTGCCCTCATTGAAGCCGGCGTTGAGAAGACGTTGCCTAACCTCTGGAGCGGCACCCAGTCGCTGTAAGGGTAAGATTGGAGTGTTGCCGGAGAGAACTCTTCTAGGAAAGCGAGGGTGCCTGCCTGGAATGGGAGTTGCCGTGTTACATCCTTGAGTTGAGACGGGAGGTAAGAAACAGGCCACAGCGGGAATACGATTTTCGCTCGTGATTTAAATTGATTGGGCAGGCCCACCACAGAAATCCGGTAGCAGACTATTACTGTTAGTGACATGGATGCTTCACCAAAAGAAAGCTTTCGGCCAGCGTGCGCAATTGAATACGCCAGCAAGCTGTCTAGGTATGAAATCTAATCATCACTACCGAGTACTTTGTGATATTTATTATAATCAAGGCTCCTTACGGACAAAAGGAGTCTACATGTCCCGCGCGCATCTGCGTGAATCCTAACCATCTCATATTGGCTACCATGTACTTACCGGGGCTACGCAACCCTGTTGCTACCTGCGCTTTAGCTTCCAGCAAGGGGCTTCCGATAAGGAATGTCGAAAAAGGGCAGCTTCCCCTGGAGATCTGTCTTCAAGGTCAAGAACATCGTCCCAGGCTCCCACTTTACGACCGCGACGAGAATCTGCATACCTGCGCCTGTATCCTCGCCAAAGCTCATCATCACCTCGATAACAAAAACCCGAAACTCCCGCCGATAGATCGTCAAGAGGACCCGCCAAGATGTCGACCATGTGGTTATCGGATTCGCAGAGTACGTGATGCGCCCGCGATGATACGAGGGGCAGGGAGCGCGAGACGCGACCGCCACCGTGGGTCCGGCCATGTTACCGAGACGGACGCTGACCTGGTCTACAGAGATTGGTGTTGCGTTCTGCTCCGGCGGTAGGTTTTGACCAGCAAGAGCAGCGCGGCGGACGCAGATGGTCTGACGAAGCTCACAGGAGGTTTCTTCCTCATCGGAGGCGTGATGCTGTTCTTCGACAGAGCCATGTGAGCCATCCCCCCAACCCGCTCATCGCGCGCGTGCGACGCTAACTCTTGCGTGTGCAGGCTTGCCATGGGAAATGTAGCTAGCTATCCACCCTGCCCTGCGGGCTCCCATTGCCTCCCCCAAAAAACGACTGACGAATCCAGATCCTCTTCCTCATCGGCCTCACCATCATCATCGGCCCCCACAAGACTCTCCTCTTCTTCGCGCGGAAGCAAAAAGCCAAGGGCACGGCGGCGTTCTTTCTGGGCCTGCTGCTGATCTTGTTCCGGTGGCCGCTGATCGGGTTCTGCATTGAGTTGTACGGAATCTTGATCCTGTTCGGGGACTTCCTGGGCACGATCGGCAGCTTCGCGCGGGGCATCCCGGTGATTGGGCCCTATATTGGGATGCTGGTTGACAAGGCGGGCATGGGCAGGCGCAACGCCGAGTTGCCCGTGTAGGACTTTTGTTTCGACCTTTGCGTGACGAATTTATAGACCTAGGGGCTTGGCTTGGGGCTTTTCTTCAACCTGCAGTAGAAACTGCTTGGCACGGACACCAGGGCGCCTACACACCAGAGCGACCCATGTATACAAGAGGCCTTGGCGGCGTTGAGGGAAATCATGGCGTCTATTCGGCTCTGAAAGAGGCACTTGCCTGTAAAATACAAGAATGTACGGCGGGATATTAGATCGGCACCTTGTACGGGCCTGTGGTTTGCCTCATGATGGTGTTGGATCGGAGTTCAAACAACTGCCACTTCGTCCCCTGAAATCGATGAGCATCACTGACGAAGGCCTGGCCCGCGCACAAGGAGCCTTCCCGGAGTTTCGCGCATGTCTCATTGGGATGGCTAACCGCCTAAATAACAGAATCCACCGCCCCGGCACTGGTCGTCCTCTCCTTTGTGTCTAATGGTCGTTGACTCGTCGCAGTATGCGGCACGGAAGCCGCCTGTCCTTCGCCTGTCCTCCTCCACCGCCCTTCATGTCTTGCGCGGCAGGCCGTGGCCTCCGCCGCCTCGCAACCCCCCCCCTGATTCTTCCTCGCTCGCACGCTGAACAGACGCTTTAGTAGCTGAGGCCGATAAGGTAGTCGGCCAGCTTCTGCACCGCCGCGCTCGCGTTGCCAGCGACGGCGGCCTCGCCGTGGTGGCCGATGAGGATGGCCTGGTTCGTCTTGGCAATGGCGATGCCCTCCCTGCCCTACACGCACAGTCCATGTCAGCACAAAGAAAAAACGTCTCCTTCTCCATGTGGATGGACTCATTTGCTCCGGAGGGGAGCGCCTCGGGTGCTGCTGACCTTGCGCGCGTAGATGGTGCCGTCCTCGGCGCGAGCCATGACGTAGCGCTCGCCGGCGACGTAGAGGCCGTCGCCAAAGGCCTTGTCGGCGGCACCGGGCTTGGCGGTGACGACGTCGGCGATGGCCTTCATCTCCGTGGGGGAGACGGTGAAGCCGGCGGAAGTGGCCCAGACGCTGTCGCCAGCGATGCTGACGATGGCAGCCTTGTCAATGTGGCCGGTGCCAACCAGGCTAGGAGAGATCAGCTTCCATATCTTTTGACGAGTTGCCAGGGATTATAATGTGTGAGGTCGGACGATCGTGAAGGTGGACTAGGTGCAGAAATTTACCTGGTGTCAACGTAAGCTGTGACAGGTGACGATTAGCTTCACGGGTTCTCAATGGGCGGAAGCGGAGAGGGGGGGGGGGGGGTAAAATGACCAGCAGAATGCCCAAGGTGGGGGTTTCCTGCGCGCTGTTTCGGAAGAGGGGAGAAGGGGAGGGGACTGACCTTGCCAGGACATGTTGAAAAGATGAGGCGAGGAAATGCAGCGAGTCTGATGAGGAACGATAGGGCGAGACGCGCTTGGGGGCAAAAGTAGGGGAGAGAGATAGGTAGTAGGTCGAGGTTGTTGATGTTTCCTGTTTCTCTACCGAACCGAGCACGACGGGCTGACTGGCGAGGGGCTGCTGTGAGTCGGGTCCTCTCCTCCTGTCGCCTGGGATGGCGGGGGCCACACCAACCCAAACCCAAGGCAAACCCACCCACCGCCAAATTTCAGCATAGGGCAGGCGTGACGAGCAAACTGACTAAAGTCCCGCCCCGGGTTGATCCCGCAGCGGGGAACATGTGGAAACACTGGTTGCTGTTAAGGAGGCACTTTCGCCGGGCCTCATGAGCTCATCTCGTCCGCGGCACATCGGGGGCAAACGAGAGTCCTGGGTCGTGCATCAGACAGACGCTCTGCGCTGGGGAATGCCGCCTGCACATAGCTTTGGGAAGTCACTCGGGATGCATTTGAACCTGGTCAGCTGGATCGCATCTTATTCGAGAGTCGTGCTGACTGCTGCCCGCAGAGAGCCGATATTTGCCCATCTCAACAAATGATGATGTTGCATGATTGTCTCGCCAAGACGAGTACATGGTACCTCTGACATGTACCCCTCCATCGGTCGGGTTGGTGAGCTGCCCATGGTGCTGACATCACAGAGGAAAGGAGGGAAGCCTCGCTGCTTTTAGCGCGGAGCTCGACACAGCTTTGGCAATTAAGTGTCCCCACTAGGACCCAAAAGACAATACATTCACCACGACAATAGAAGTCACAGGTTGCATGAATGTTGTTCGTGTTGTTTCATCATGTTTTTTTTCCATGATGTATATGATGTCAGATCAGTCGTGTTCAACTGGACAAAGACCAGGGTCGACAACTGAAACCCTTCTTGGCCAACAAGCTCACCACTCCTTAGTCCTTACATGTCCGTTCTCCTGCCTCCTTCCCTACTTTTTTCTTCAGCTGAAAATATCTCGGAACGAATAAATCCTGTCATGTTGATTGATTATTACACAGCGTTAGCCGTGATTGCGCACACTCAACCCTTGCCCACCAGCCCGTGCAACCCTGGCCTAGCGATTTACGATGCTACTATTCTCTCTGTGGCTTCCGTGGACAGGGGCCAAACACCAAATGTCTTGTGATAGTGATCTCGCGAGCCTCTGTGGCCTTGAACATGGTTCGGGGGAAGACTGCTCACCTGTATAGTGAGGGCAAGGAGCATCACAGCTCCATGGTAAGGGGTTCTGCTCATCGGAGTAAAAAGGCGACACCAGACCCGGCACCAGACCCGACTCACCTCGCCCACCGACCACAGCCGTTCCATACATGGGAACCTACCTACCTACTTGAACCCGCCTCCCTACTTGAACCCGCCTCAACCCGAGATCAGATGATGTTGTCGCTTGAAGGATGTCACTCGAAATGATGATCCTCGTCCCGACGTCACCACACCAGGTTGGTGGTTTTCTGCGCGTTTTTGGTGCATGTCAGATTTGTGCTACCATGTAACAAGCGCGTGCTCGGGCTGGGTCATTGTGTGGGCGGGGACCGGTTCAGTTGGAGGTTGTTGCTGTTATTGTCCCTCGTTCGAACGCAGGATACGTTTTCAAAGTCAAACATAATGGGCCCTTGACCAGCGGGGACGGTTAGGTTGAGCCTAGGTAGGGTGCAAGTAAGGCTTACCACCCTGGTACCTCGGTATGGAAAGACGACCCTCTTGCGTTGATCATTGCGTGTGGTATGGCTCCGAAATTTACTCCTCTTCCTCGTTCAGCCCCATTCTGAAGGGTGTTGTAAGAGAAATCAAACGATTTCTTGCTGTGTCCTGCGCGATTCCCACATGATTCGGCGGATGATTGAGAAGGGTTTCTTACTTTCTCGTGCACAGCAGAGCAGAGGTATCTGAGGAAGTCTGGCAGAAATGCATCTGCATCCGTGGGTGGGTACAGCTGCCAGGCAGCTGCCAGGCAAAGCGCGGACAAGAGCTCAGGCCGCCAAGCCGCTTACAGGGCTTGAGGCGCTGTGGTTGGCCTGAAATAGCCCCGTCCCGATGCGCTAAAAAGCTTGTTCTGGACCTCGAGCTCGAGGGCACATGCCCGTCCTTGCCCGTCCCCAAACCACCATGGCCGAAGCTGTGCGAGCTATCCGCATTCAGGTCGCCCATTGCACTGCCTCCCATCCCATGCCCACCACGGCATCGGCACGGCACCCTCCCGACCCAGGCAGAGTTGCAAGCTATCCCGAGTGGCCAAAGGCCGCCCGGCGCCCGCACCAACACATTTCCATGACAGCTTTTGCCACGCGCCATATCCTCCCATTGGTCCCGCCTGCGCTCCCTCTGATATCCCCGTCGTGGACCATGACAGATGACGACCAAGGACGCTTTCTTCCTGGCCGCTACGTGCGAGCACCGATGTTCAACGGCCTCGTTACGACACAGCATATCTACCTCGACGTCTTTGTCCTCGAGCCAGTCTCGCACAGTGTCGTAGTCTGGACGCGCTGAGCTAGCCCACCATCAAGCAATGGCATACATACATAGCCTGCGTCAAATCTCCCCGTCACGGTCTGGTCGGTATCTGCCACGGCAAATATACCCTTTTTCGTGGGCCATGGTGCGCCCGCAAGACCCAGGCATGCCCACGTTTCTTGTCCCACATGAAAGCCTGGAAAGGGCGTGGCCGCCGCGTGAAGGACCTGGATGCCCATGTTTTCTGCTGGCCTAGATCCATGGCGATCCCCCACCAGCCCTCGAGGCAGGGCGTTCTCGTGTGCTCGAAGCGGTTCCAGTATCGCGGGATTTCAAGCCTTGCAGCGCGTATTTGAGCCAGGCTGTGCCCGCTGCCAGGAAAAGTTTCAGCCTCTTGTTTCTGACCCCTCACCTTTGTGCGCGCTTCGATCGACCTCCTGTCTCTTATTCCTTGTGCCTCCCATCTCAAACAGTGTCAATCTTCCTGACATGGCTCCCGCAGAGAAGCAGACCGACGACGAAAACGTCGGGAATGCAAAGAGCGATAAAAGACCCGATGTAGGGTCTAGCACTGGAATCGCTGGAGGAGTCTTCTACGGAAGAGATCTCGACCGTACCGGTCTCGCGCGTCGTAGCGCGTCTCAGGGCGACAACGTTGAAGTTGATATTGGCGACAATGGCGAGTGGCACCAAAATGATGGCAAAAGGAAGCAAGTCTTCAAGGGCCGCGCCCTCCTATGGTATGTATGCCGACTGCATCATGTTTGTTCTTGATGGCTAACTGGCCTCGAGGTTGGCTTACCAGTCTATCGGCGTCATCTATGGAGATATTGGTACAAGGTAGGATGACGCGTGGTAGTTGCTGGCTGCAGAACGCAGGTTGACCTGGGAACAGCCCTCTCTACGTCTACTCGTCCGTGTTCACCTCGCCACCCTCAAAGAAGGACATAACCCAAGTACTCTCTCTGATCATCTGGTCCCTGGCCATCATGGTCACCTTCAAATACGTCTTCATCATCCTACGTGCCGACAACGAGGGCGAGGGCGGTACCTTTAGCACCTACTCCCTGCTCACCAGATACGTATGCTATCTAATTGCCTTCTTGACTTGGGTTGCATTTGCTCACACCCAATTCATAGATGAACATCTCGAACCGAGATCCTCGCGAAGAAGTCACCGTCCGCATGGAACGAACATTGACACAGGATGTACGCCCCATGAGTCGCAACATTCGCAAGGTCGTTGAGAACAGCACCATCATTCGAAACTTCCTTAAAGTACTTGGTGCCCTGGGTGTGGCCATGGTCATGGCCGATGGTGTCCTGACGCCGGCTCAATCCGTGCTCGGCGCTATCCAAGGCCTCGCCGTGGTCCAGCCAGACATTGATACTTCGACCATTGTGGGAACCACCTGTGGTATTCTTGTCCTTCTCTTCCTCGTACAACCCCTCGGCACCACCAAGCTGGCGTCGGCTTTCGCACCCATCGTCATCCTGTGGCTCGGAATCAACGGCGGGTTTGGTATTTATAACCTCGTCAAGTACGATTACACAGTCCTCAAGGCATTCAACCCATACTTTGCCATCCAGTTTTTCAAGGACAACAAGAACAGATGGATGGAGGATGTTAGGAGGCGTGCTTCTCTCCTTTACCGGTGTAGAGGCCCTCTTTGCTGATCTGGGAGCCTTCAGCATGCGCGCCATTCAGATCAGCTGGCTCGCCTGGGCCTACCCCTGTCTGCTGCTGGCATACAGTGGTCAAGCGGCGCACATTGCTGAGATGCCTGAGAAGTACTCGAACCCCTTTTTCAACACAGTGCCTCCCGGCATGCTGTACCCCAGCCTGGTGCTCGCAGTCCTCGCAGCCATTGTGGCATCCCAGGCCATCATCACAGCGACGTTCCAGGTAGGTCACCTCATTCACAAGGCACATGTTCATGGTGCAGTGCTAACAGTAAACAGCTCTCAAGCCAGCTCATGAAGCTCTCCTTCTGTCCTCAGATGAAGGTTGTCCACACCTCCCGGAAGTTCCATGGCCAGGTCTACGTGCCCTTCCTCAACTGGCTGCTCATGCTCGGCACCATCCTCGTTACAGCCGTCTACAACAACACCACGAGGCTGGGTCATGCCTACGGCGTCTGCGTCATCTTTGTCACCTTCTTCGACACCATCATGGTGACTCTCGTAGCCCTTTTTGTTTGGGATCTCCCGCTTTGGCTGGTCGCTGTACCTGCACTCGTCTTCGCCACGCACGACGGCCTTTATCTCTCCTCAGCCCTGACAAAGGTGCCCCTCGGCGCTTGGTTCACCCTTTTGCTGTCAGGCATCCTCGCCACCGTCTTTCTTCTCTGGCGCTTTGGCAAGGAAAGGCAGTGGAGCGCCGAGGCCGAGGACCGCTTCGCGCCTAGCAGACTGCTCGTCCGCAACGGCGAGGGCATGCTGGCGCTGACGCCGCGATGGGGCGGCGACGCACTGTCGCCCGTCAGCGGCTTCGTCATCTTCTTCGACAAGACGGGCATCCTGACGCCAAGCGTCTTCACCCACTTTGTCTCAAAGCTCGGCGCCCTGCCGGAGGTATCTGTCTTCTTCCACCTGCACCCCGTCGAAACGCCTTCCGTGCCCGATGCTGAGCGTTATCATGTTTCGAGGTTCTCGAGCGTGCCAGGGTGCTACCGCCTCATCGTTCGTCACGGCTTCATGGACGAGGTCGTCAGCCCGGATCTCAGTGCTCTCATTTATGAACAGGTGCGCAAGTTTGTCGCTCGCCAGGCGCCTGCGTCGGGAGAGCACCCAGGTGCAGAGATCTCGGCTGGCCCTGTCCAGACCACGGCGTCGGAGCTCGCCTTGCTGAAGAGCGCGTACCAGCGCAAGGTGCTGTACGTGGTCGGCGAGGGGCAGATGCGGATTCTAAAGAGTCACAATGTCTTCCGCAGGGTCATGTTGTGGACGTTCTTGTGGATCAGGTCCAACACGCGAGCCAAGGTTGCGAGCTTGAGATTGGCGATGGACAAGGTCGTCGAGGTTGGGTTTGTCAAGGATATCTGACGCGTAAGGTTTCATGATAGCAATAGCTGAGTATGAGACCCTTTTTTTTTTCTTTTTTCTTTTTCCCTTTTTTTTTTTTGGCGTTTCTTGTCATGTGTTCTGGAATGCTTGGCTTCCAGCTGTGTAGTCGCACGTGCGAAGCGTCCCTTTCCACTCTGCTGCCACGGTGTTCTGGCGGTCAGGCCGAGGAGCCCAACTGGAATGACCGGTCCAGCCACGCCCAGCCGCTTCTTTGGCTTCTGTCATGGGAGAACGAATAGAGGAGGGGTACCCCAACCAGGCATTTCAACAGGTCGGCATCCAGTCACTTATTACGAGAGCCTGCTGCGAAGAGTGCTCGCTCCAGGGCACCCCGCTCTGTCTTCTTGGGGCGGAACGGCAGTTCAGGAGAGGGGCATGTCACACACACGACTCGGCTCAGACACGTGGTTCCGTCGTCGACCACATATCGGGTGCGACAGTACTTGGTTCAGGGTTTCGGCGTTCCGTTCTACCTTGATTGACTGACAGGCGCTGATATGACATGGCCAGTGTCTGTCATTCCCCATTAGCCAAGACCTGGCGGGCACCATCATCTGAGATGAAGCTTCCCATTTCAGTATCACTCGCACCATGTTCTGCTTCACGTTCCCTCCTTTTATCTATTCTTCATGTCATGTCGAGAGGATGAATTCTCCACTCAGTTGGTCGGTCGGTCGCTCCCCCGGACCCGAGTCGCCATGCAAACAAGAATGGAGGCCAGTAAACCGCGCAACCTAAAAGGGGGGGGGGAGTTCCGCGTCAGTGTCCGCAGCGCCGCACGAACGGGAAGTCTGGACTCGGAAAAGGAGGTAGCGAGGGGCCCGCTTCTTCAACCCATCACCCACGTACTTGCACAACAGACACCACACCATCTTCTTGGTCTTCTCCTGCTGTCTCTGATTCGCGGCTCCTTGGCGGCTAGTAGGACCGTCTGCACCCAAGGGTCGTCCCGTTGCCGGTTGATGCCCGTCGGCGGGTACGCGGGAGTCGGGGCTTTCGGACGGGAGAGGGGTGACGTAGATTACCACGACCGGCTCGTTAAAGTTGAGGGTGCAATTCTTGACCTCGTTGTGGGTGCTGTTGTCGGGGCCGTTGTTCTGGGTTCGGCAATTGTGCGCCACGTTGTTTGCATAGGTTGAGCAGACACCTGCGGCGGCGAGCAGCTGCCTGATGTCCAATTCGGCGCTCATTACAGCGTGCGAAAAGCCCACGGAGGAATCGGAGGGGGGGCAAAGAAGACACGACCTTGGCTCCGGGGGGGATAACGATGCTGGCAGGCAATGGAACGGTGTACAACGTCAGGCGACAGTCTTCGAGCCGTGCAGGGCGACATCATCACACTGAATCAAAACGCACACGAACCAGTCAAAATCGAAATTCGAACACCATCTCCCTCAGGTGATTGAGCCCTCTTGTTGGGGTAGGTTTTCGAATCAGAGCTTGCGATTTGGCGAGGGGGCCGCATGTTGGAGGCCGCGCCAAGTCCACAAGAACGATTGATGTGTGGGTGGGTGGTGCGGGCGGACATTGCAGCCCGACGACGGCAGGATTCGATCGGCCGATTGAACTTGGACCAAAAGGGCCATGCTCTCTCTCCTCGTTTCTTTTTCCTCTGTCCGGCCGGGTATACCGTCTGCCGTCTGAGGGCATTGAGATCGATCTGGTAAGCGAGATACTGCCGTGCCGAGTTTCGTGTGAGCAACGTCCTGGTAAAAGGGGCTCTCGGATGCCATGATTCAACAAGCACCCCATCGTGTGTGTCAAACATCATGGGACGACCCGCAAGCTTGCATTCCAACATGTGCTCGGCCATGCGGCTTGGGTCGCACTACACTATGCAACCACCATCATGCACTCTGGGCGTTGGCGCCAACAGTAAGGTAGGGAGAGGGAAGAAGCAAGCGGCACATCGGGTTGATAGCTCTGGCAGGCAGGGCGGCGAAGACATGCCTGCAAAGGACAAGACGAACTGCCGTAGATGCCAACTTTGAGCATACCGCCCCCTCTGAGTCGTCTCATCATGATGCCTACCTCTACTTTCATCTTGCTGCCTCTTCTCACAGGGTCATTGTTAATTTTCAGAAGACGTTTGACTTGAGAGCAGCCTTTCGTGTTGTTCTCTTGTCGAACTTCTTCCTGGAGTCCGACCGTCTCCTGCAAATAATGCTTTACATGACAACTGTTACCAGGGCGGATTTCGGCATGTCCGTTCCCACTCCCGCCCTCCTGTGATATTCTAGACCACGAGAGACTATTCGTCGCTGCGGCTGATAGAATACCACACTGGTGGTTCCCCCTGATCTTATCTCGAGCCTTCTTGCGGTGAGGAAAAACTGCTTGACCACACCATCAACGGGACACTTCACCCAATGTCGCGATGACGCCTCGCAACCTTTACCAACGCCTAGGATCCTGATTCGTCCTTCTCGACCTATGATCGCCAGTAAGCCTTGCGCGCCCCAGCTCGGCGTTTCTGCCTCATCCATCCATATGAACGGGTTCGTTGTGAGACTGTCACCCACGACCCTGGACTGAACTGGTTAGCGCCCTTGCTGCTTTTGTTCCGGCTCGATCAGTGCAAGCAAGCACAGCCACAGCTCAGTAAAAGCGTATTGGAAGGGCGACCGTGCATGTACCACAGAGCATGTGTGATGGAAACGGTTCTGCCAAACGGAGCCTTGCTGCAAACAAGCTTGGCTATACCATGATGCCTCTCCAAGCGTCGCTGCCGTGGTTGATCCTGAAAGCTGGGTGGTTGCCGAGACGTGATTGTATACTATGGAGCTGTTTTGGAGGTCTTCTAACTTTGTCGACGATACTGTGCCCTGACATCACCTTACGTTTCGTGCCTCATACATCAGATTTCACATAACATGGGGAAGTCACATGTCCAGGACGCAGCGAAGGAATAACTCTATTCAAACTATCCGAGCAGCTCGTCACTCCAGTTCGATCGTGCCTGCGGTGGTCAGTATTGCACGCGTGCAAGGACAGGTACAAAGAAAAGAAGGAGACCGTCTTACCGGGAGGCTTCGAGGTCGTATCGTAAACAACCCTGGCAATACCGTCGACTTCGTTGATGATCCGCCTGCTGACGGCCTTGAGGAAGCTCCACGAGAATTCGTACGGCTCAGCGCTCATCATGTCCAAGCTGGTCACAGCTCTCAGCACGCAGATGTACCCGTACACCCTTGAATCTCCCTGCACGCCCACGGCTACGGCACAGACCCTAGTTAGCAAAAGTTCTATGTGCAGAAGTGCTTGATATGGCAGCAGTGTTCGAGTAAAAAGGGCAAGATGAATACATACCCTTGTTCGAATCAAGCGCAGCGTAGGCTTGGGTGATCTGTCGTTTATTAGCGTCTCACCCCGAGGACGGCTGGCGTTGTCACGAACCTCGTTGTAGATGCCGGCCTCTTTGATCATTGTCATGAAGATGAAATCGGCCTTCCTCGTGATCTCGACCTTTTCGGCCGTAATATCTCCTATGATGCGCACGCCGAGTCCAGGTCCGGGGAACGGATGCCTCATGATGAGATCCTCGTGGATTCCCAGCTGGCGACCAAAGCTCCTCACCTCGTCCTTGAACCTTTGTAGCAAAATGTTAGCAACCGCGACAACAGGCATCGGCCATGGACTTACAGCTCTCGGAGGGGCTCCAGCAGCTTGAGCTGCGCGTCCTGTTGTTCACGTCAGCCTCAGTCTCCACGAGCCTCGCATCATGCGACCTACGCCGTTTTGCATCCGTGCGGGGAGTCCGCCGGCGTTGTGGTGAGCTGATAGAGTGTTAGTAATGATTAAAGGGCCCCTTTAGTCCTGTCAAGTAGCTTCAGGAACATGGTGCGCATGAGTTTGTGGAGATGGGCACTTATGGAACTCTTGGCGTAAGGGATTAGAAAGGAGTGTTGAAACGTACATTTGATTGTAGCTGACGGGCCCTTGAAGCTGAGGCTCTCGATGAGATCGGCTGCGGGAAGTTTAGCTACTCAAACACCATGATGAGTGAATGGATATCACAACTGACCGTAGAGGGTGCCTTGGAGGAACCATTCGACCTTGCCAGCAAGAGGCGTGTGCTCTGCTTCCTTTTCAATACTAAGGGCGTGGCATCTTAGCTCTTCGCAGTTCTGTGGCCGAGTTTGATGAAATGCTAACTTACCGGAGTGCCTCAATCTCGAAGAGGTCGATGACTATTCGAGTCAGTATAAAGGGCCAGTAGGCTTCCTACAAGTTAACCTACAAGTCCCGCCGATAATCTTGCGCTTGGCCTCCGGTTCCAGAACCCCAGCAAGACGGCTAAGGAAGAGCTCGGACCCATCCACAATCGTGAGGTTAATGCCGAGATGCTCCGCCAAAGATTCTTTGACTTGCGGGCATTCGTTCAGCCGCATCAGGCCTGTAGGGAGAGAATTAGAGAACGATTCCGTGCTTGTTGGAAATGTTGCCTACCGGTGTCCACAAGAATAGCGTGGAATCGGTCGCCAATGGCTTCTTTCATCAGTTTAGCAGCCACGGTACTGTCGACACCGCCAGAGACGGCCCCAATCTACAGGCTGGTAAGCAAGTCGACTCATAGGCTGGACGAGGAACAAAGACATACAACTTGGGCGGAATCTCCAACAAGCTTCCGAATTCGGATAATCTCCTTTTCGGTAAAGTTCTCCATCTCCCAGTCTGCGCGCGCGCCACAGACCTTGAGGGCGAAATTGCTAAGAATTTCGGTACCTCGCGCCGTGTGCGAGATCTCGGGATGGAGCTGGATTCCTGTCGTCCATTCCAATTAGCTACTTCTTTATCGGGTTAGCAACCTGGAAGAACAAACCAAAGATTGGCTTCGACTGATGGGCGATGCCAGCGAACTCAGCGCCCTTCGTGCTTGCGATGGTTACGAAGCCCTCAGGAAGGCGGACCAGCTTATCAAAGTGGCTCATGAAGACTAATGAGTAGTACATGTCAGCTATAGACAAGACCAGAACAGAGTCATTTTCGAATAGGGGTAGACATACCATGCAGCGAATCACCAAGGCCGTCGAACAGTCGGTCGGCATGATCGTTGACCTTGTGGATGGTAAGATCCGTCTCGCCGTACTCTCGCGTAGAACCGCGAGCGACGTTCTGTGCGTCAATACGCCAGGCGAGTTCCTGGCAGCCGTAGCAGATACCCCTTACCGTAGTATTAGCGGACCATATATATCCGTGTCAGGGCTCGGGAGCAGCAACTCACAGGATAGGGACTCCGAGATCAAAGACGGCAGGATCGACATCTGGTGTCTATTAGACAATTGGCTGGATATCAAGGAGGCAAATGACTCACGGGGAGCTCCCTCATCATAAACAGAGGATGGACCTGATAGGGGTTAGAAGGCTGTGCTTGCATCGTAGCTAGGCTCAAGAAAAAAGTGACCGACCTCCGCTGAGGATGATTCCAGCAGGCTTCCAGGTGAGATCTGCAAGCTTGGTGGTGCAGCTGAGCATTTCAGCATAGACTTTAAGCGACCGCAGACGACGCAGGATGAGATGACTGGTCTGAGAGCCGAAATCGAGCACCAAGATGGTCTAGACATTGTACGTCAGTGACGAATGGCAACTGCTGGCTTTAGGATACATACGTCGAAGGTGCTGTGCGGCGCAGCCGCTTCGATGTTGTCGCCCATTGTGAAATCGTTATTGCATCAATTGGTAGAAAGGTGACCTGGAATTATGCGGGCAAGCTGGGCATGGGTGGACTAACTGCAAGACGATGAGATTTTTTTTGTGCTCAGCCTTATCCCACGGTCTCAACCTTTGCCGTGGTGCACATCCCCACAACAGACCCACCAAGAGGATCCACACGAACGCTCGCCACCACTTCGTGCCAGCCACCGTCATCTGGCAGCGACACGACACTTACACTCCAATAGGCTTTTCGTAAGCTGACCGAATGCTAAAAGGTCTTCCCGACATCACACATCAACGAGAACCGGTATAATGCGAGGACAGGCCCAGCGACCAGATCATCTGCCTCTTATGCAACAGACAGCATAAGAAATACACCTCTTCGATTCCTTGCTCTGAAACACGTCAGTATCCGGAATAATCGGCCAGCGTATCTGCGGTCTCCTCTCATTAGCAGCCAAGAACCCGACGGCTGACCGACCATGCATTCACGATGATTCTGGGTGACTGCCTCTATACTACCGGGGAAGCTGTCTCTCGACACCTAGTGCATACGCCACTACGTTGAAGCAAGCCGGCCGTCCCAAATGTTTTAGTTTCCGAACGACGGCCGACGAGGTCCTTAACGGTGATATCTGAGGGTCTGTGGCTATGCTGGCTGGCTAAGCCACCCTACCAGACTCAGGGCCATCCACCCCTGGCTCGGGCTAAAAGCAGCGAGGCTTCGGGACGCATCCAGTCTCAACGGGCCAACGGTAATAATAACTGAGAGGTTCTCGGTGACCCATTGGGAGTAGAAACGCAGGGCCAGCCTGATTCTTCTGCATGCTGGCCAGGCACTGAAAGTCAAGGCCTCACCTCCTTTGCCCAACCATCTCTGACCACATCCAATATCTCTAATCACGAAGACTGGCACACTTGAGCCTTCCACTCTACGAAACAGCCCCCAACTGACACGTGGCGCCTCGTCGCAACCACTACATTGTTCAGCTTGCATGGAGTGTGCACCAGAGGTTGAAGATCTGACCAGAGAGTACCTGGCTCTAACCGGAGAATCTTGAAGCTATCGTCGGTACCCTCACCGCCAGACCGTGGCATTATCGTCACAGCCCCCGAAAGAGGCCCAACTGACGGACTGGTTGCCTCGTGGAGGCATCCATCTCGCTGGGGACATGGCAGAAGTCCTTGGAGTCGTTGCGGCCGCGGCTCAACTGGCCAGCGCCTGTCTGGGTCTTCTAGAGCTCACGGAAAAGATAAAAAGCAGCAGTTCTACGCTGTTGAGATATCAGAATCAGTTTCAAGAGCTACACGCACTTTCACTCTCCATCTCTCAGAATCCTCTTCTTCAGACAGAGGAAGTCTTTTCACATACTCAATCTTTGTTGATCTTCCTCCAACACATCCCTCTCGAACCTCTTCTTCAAAAGGGCTTATTATCGAGAACGTGGGGCTTCATCCGGAAAGACCAGTATCTCTCCGAAACCTCCAACTGCCTTGAACAACGCAAGTCTTCCCTGTCTCTGATCATCAGTGACATACAAGCAAGAGCCATCTACGACATTCGTGCCGATATTAGAGTCCTATCGCATTGCACCACCAGTTTGCCTCTCTACCAAGACCCGTCCGATACGCCTTCGATATCCGACTGTGCCTACAACGACGACACCAAGTCCTTCGCAAGCATGCCGGGCCGATTTTGCAACAAGTCTTCCCGCAAGAACAAATCCCGCTCATCAACCATGTCCAGCTCTCAACAGCAAGAACCTGGGCAAGGATCCCAAGGCTCTCCTTCGGCTCCGACCCTTTCGACAACAGCCTCTCTTGGAGCAACTGCAGCAACTGGGGGCCAGACTCGTGGCAATAACTTGGGGTCCATCGATACCCCCGGCAGTACCGCTCGTTGGACAATGATTCTGGAAGAACGAATGAGGTCTGCAGGCAACTTGAACGCGTATTCCGGAAACACCGTCACCAACGCCAATATGCGGAACGGACATTGTCGGGACTCCAAGGGCTGGGTACCAGGGGGCAATAATGTGTGGTTGAACAACACCGCGATTAACTGTCGCAAGATGGTCAACTATTGCGATACCCCTATTCAGGACGTCAATAGCCCAGATGGTCACGGCCACGCAGCGGCTGCCGGAAGCAGCCAGGCTGCAACGGGGTACTTCAATTTGTACGCGAACAACCATCTTGAAGGCAGGACCGTCAAGGGCGGTGATGAGGACGCTCCGGACAGTTGGATGATGAACGGTTACGTTGAGGACACCCCACCCAAGGATAGCCACGGTAAGGCCAACCAGAATGCGACCCATCCTGAGAAGGATGAGGACAAGTGAAGCAACGGCGTGGAGGGTTTCAACAGACGAGTCAGCTGGCAGTATTTCTTTGCGCGCTTCTCTTTCCGTTTTTGTCTTGAGTTTTCCTTTCCAGTCGTTCGTTTCCTCTCCTGCCTGAAGAATGTGATATGTCCTTCGATCCTTGAAAGCAAATAAAAGTTTTGATTCTTGTCTACTTGGCCATCTTCGAAGGCCCAGGCGCTTCATTCTTGCTAGAAATGACGTGAAAAAGATGATGCAGAGGATGAATCTCATCTACGAGTTTTGAGACTGCTTCTGTACCTCAGCACCCTGTAGCGAACCCGGCGGCGGCTCACACCAAGACTTCCTGGTTTGGGTGCTCTGGGCCTTTGAGGGGACATGCACGCGACGGAGAGAACGCAGCGGACGCGGAGATCGATTCCGGGTGGGTGCTTCTCCACAGAAGTCATACATGGAAGACAATGTTGACGTTGTTAAAAACCTATTCGATCTTGTGCTAACTAGGTAAGGTACCTTAGGCACTTGAAACAACTGGGGTATGCTGTTGCGGTATTGAATTCTGCAGGGGTAGTTCAATAGCTAGAGGTGCCTTGCCTGATATACATTAGCTGCTAGGCCAATCACCAGCAATGATAGTTCCCTTTCGCACCGTGGTCATAAGCAACAAAGTCCTCTGCAACATGTCACTGCCTGCTTACTTGCTACATGATCAGCCGAATTCGACCTCTGTGGCACGTGAATGTCGGCAGTATTCGAGTACTTCTCATAATCAGACTTGAATCCGTATGTGGGCAATGTCCCTTACAGTTGTGAACTGTAGACAGAAAGTTGGATGCGTGCAAGCAGGCACTGTCCAAGGGAGAAATTGGAAAGCATACGGATGGTTTCCAAGGCTTCGAGGTTTCCAAATGAATATGCCGCAATTCGGCGATTAGGTCCCGTGTTGACCTGTCGTCTGTTTTCGCTACCGTCGTCGTTTCTCAAGACCCTACAAAGTACCCATGCACCAAACTAGGTAAGCACGGCTATCCGGCACGTTGACCTAGGTACCTAGACCGTGCATCAAGCCAGTCAACGACGCAGTACAACGCAAAGAACCCAACAGCGGTTTCTTCCCACCAAACCACACCCCCCTCTCGAAACATCGGCGGGGACCGTCTTCAATTCGCCTTCCCGCACAGCCATGTCGGCGCCAATTGCACCAACCCCGAAAAACAGGCCCGGCACCGCCGGAGCCGCCGGGTACGCCTCCCACCCATCCATGGCATTCTCATGCCAGCCATGCGCCCGTCGCAAGGTCAAGTGCGACAAGTCGACACCCCTGTGCTCCAGCTGTCGAAAAGGCAGGCTGGACTGTATCTACGAAGCCCCGGCGCCGCGTGCGCGGAAGCGGAAGCCAGGCGAGGCGGGTGCTGATGACGTTTACGAGAGGCTGGCGCGGTACGAGCGCGTGCTGCGCCGACACGGCTTGCTGGAAGCTGCTGGCGCGTCGCCTGCAGTCGAGAAGGACGAGGAGGCGCTCGAGGACCCGATCTTCCCACTCTGGAATCTCCCGTCTGGGAAGCTTGTTGTCGGTCAAGGGAAATCGAGGTACGTCAACAGCCACCTGTGGCGCAACCTTGGAGACGACGAGATGGAACGCATGGGCGATGAGCATGCCGCTCACCATGACGATGATGACGACGCGGCGGACGAAGAAGATGGGACTGTGGGCATTGTTGAGGGCCCTGCATCTGACCCTTTGACGGGAGCCTTCCTGGGCGGACAGCATCATAATCTCCTCATGCATCACCCGACCCATGCAGAGGCCATGATCTTGTGGGCGGCTTATGTGGACAATGTCGAGCCTCTACTCAAGGTACTGCATATTCCTTCGATGGCCAAGACGATAGACACTCTTTCGAAACAACCGGGACAGGCAAACAAAGCTGACGAATGCCTCGCGTTTGCCGTTTACCACTTTGCGATCGTGTCCATGTCGGACGAAGAATGTCTCCAGAAGCTGGGGTCGACTTCACGCGAGGTCCTGCTTCAGCGCTACAACCAAGCAACACGCCAGGCTCTCGTCAACGCATCTTTCCTCAGCACAACAGCCATGACCGTGTTGCAGGCCCTTGTTCTCCATCTCGTCTGCTGTCGGAATGAGTACGATCCCCACACGTTCTGGATTCTGACTGGCGTCGCGACCCGGATTGCCCAGCGAATGGGTCTGCACCGCGATGGGGAGGTGCAGGGCCTCTCGCCGTTTGACGTACAGATGCGACGACGGCTATTTTTCCAGATTCTCCCGCTCGACGGCGCATCCAGCCGTATGGCGGGAGTGGGCGTGTCGATTCCCGATGACTGGGACACTCGGCAGCCACTCAACATCGACGACGAACAGATCTGGCCGACCATGACGGAAGCGCCAGTAGCACGAGAAGGAGCAACAGAGATGATGTTTTGTCTCGCGCGGTCGTCTCTTGGAACCTTCATCGCGAAGCCAGGCAAATCAGTGGATGCATCAAAGCATCTGGATGACCGAGCCCGCGAGTGGGCGATCAAGCAAGCAGAAAAGGAGGTTGAGGAGCGCTACATTCGCTACTGCGATTTCGTCAACCCGCTTCACATGTTGACCATCAGCTCTGCGCGAGCTGGGATCACGGCCATGAGGCTGCGGATTCGCTTACAAAAGGTTAAGAACCAAAACGCAACGCCTTTGGAGCGCATGGATCTTTTCAGACTTGCACAGAGAATCCTTGACACAGATGCAGCGGTGCTGGCGCATGCTGGCCTAGGCCGATTTCGATGGCACACAAGATGGTTCTTCTTGTGGGGGACGTGGGACTCTCTTGTCTACATTTTGATGACACTGTGGCAGAGATGTGAACTACTTTCGGACCAGGAAAAAGACGACGCCTGGGGCAAGCTGGAAGAGCTATGCCGCAACCATATCGAGCTGGCCCAACCGGAACGAGCGTTGTATCTGTCGTTCGGGCGACTTTTTGTCAGAGCGTGGGATGCTTGCCATGATCCCTTGATCAATTACAAGTCGGAACCAGTTTTTATCTCGACATTGCGATACTATTGTGAGGCTGGCTCTCCGCACGCCTCCAAGAAACAAAAACAGAAGATCGAGAACCCCACATCCGCTGGTTCTAGAAATTCTTCCGAGTCGGTAGACTGGGTCAAGACCACTCATGAGGATGATCCTTCACAGCTTTGTATGATTCATCCGATGGCTGACGCTGATGCTGATAAAGGTTTCGATGAGGCGGACTGGATGCTCTGGGATCAACTCATCCGGGATTACCAGATTCAGAGTCCAACTGGACCAGATGAGAAGGAGGGAAACTCGCTTGAAAAAGGCTTGTGATTGGCCGAATTCTCGGGTCTCAGCGACCGAAAACCGCCCTCGCCCGGACCCGAACCAAGCCGGCCCCACCTGTCGACAAGCGGCCGCGTCGGGGCTCACACATATTTCCCAGCGCAAGTGCATGTGGTCATGAGTTCAGCTATAAAAGAAGTTATCCAGTGCCTGAATGTAAGCTAGACCAGGACCTTCACGACACAACTCTCCAAGCGCTTACCTACTCGAACCTCGCATCCAACACAATGTCTAATCTCCGAGTCCTTATTGTCGGCGCTTCTATTGCCGGACCAACAGCTGCCTACTGGTTCGCCAAGACTGGTGCCACTGTCACCGTTGTTGAACGATTTCCCGAGCTGCGCACCAATGGCCATAATGTCGATATTCGCAACGTCGGCGTCGCTGTCATGCGCAAGATGCCTGGCATGGAAGCCGCAGTACGCGCCAAGAAGATTTCGATGGAAGGCATTTGCTTTGTCCGCGGCAATGGCAGAAAGATCGGCACCATCCAAAGCACAGGAGACCCGGATCAACAGTCCCTCGTCTCCGAGTACGAGATCTACCGTGGTGATCTCGCCCGTATTCTCTATGACCTGACCAAGGAAGACGACAGAATCACGTACGTCTTCGGTGAACAGGTTACCTCGATTCAGCAATACGATAACAACCAAGCCCCCGTTCATGTCGAATTTGCCAACGGGCGTCCCGCTGCCGTGTTTGATCTGGTTGTTGCCTGTGATGGCGCAAACTCCAGGACTCGCGCTTTGGGTCTCGGCTGTGGCGTGCGGGACCATGTACAGTCAACGAACTGCTTTGCCAGTTACTTCTCGATACGAGGTCACTTGAATCAAAGCGAAACGATAGCTCAGTCTTACAGTGCCGTCGGCGGCCGCTTCGTCGGCCTGGGTCCAGGTTCATCAGGAACGACGCGGGGGGCGCTGTTGTCATTTCACCCTCAGGATGGATCCGATGTTACCAAATCCTTTCGAGAGGTTCAGGATCGAGGCGTGGATGCCGTTAAAGAGTTTGTAGCCAAGCACTTTGGCGGTGCTGGATGGCGCTGTGACGAGATAGTGAAGGGCATGCTGGAGGCAGACGACTTCTATGCCTCGGAAATTGTGCAGGTACGCACACCCAGCCTGCATCGGGGCCACTTCGCACTGGTGGGCGACGCAGGGTACGGCTCCGGGGCGACAGGAGTTGGGACGAGCCTCGCCATGGCGGGTGCGTACGTTCTCGCGGGCGAGATCAGCAGGCACGCAGGCGATCTGCCGAGCGGGTTGCGGGCGTATGAGCAACGGATGCGGCCCATAGTCGAGGACCTACAGAAAATATCGCCACTCGTCCCGGCATTTCTGGCGCCGCAGACGGCATGGGGCTTGTGGGTGCGGAATCTGGTACTCGCATTCGTATGCTGGTCGGGCACACTGGAATTTGCGCAGCGTCATCTCGCAGGAGCATTTGCCAATGGGGACAAGCACACTCTCCCGAATTACGAATGGGCGGACTGAGAAGCGTTTGGCAAGTGCTATCTCTGGTATCGTTAGGATCGTTGGCATTGTCGAGAGAGCTTCGAGGTGGATTCTCACGAATTCTGAAACCACAAGTACATGCAGAGAATATCGTATCCAAGCTTGATATCAGAGAATTCTTACAAGATGCGCATCATAAGGTAGTCACACGAGGTCACCCAGGCGAGGCAGGTACGATGAGGCATGGCCAGATGATTCATGGTCCTACCTGGTTGAGGTGAGGCAGGTTCAAGACAGGCGTGAGGCAGGCGCAAGGAATGCATGGTCTGCCTACACGGTACCTACCTTAGCTACCTAGGTACCTAAGGTAGGTGCCTAGGTAGGCAGGTCAAGTAAGTAGGCCGGCAAGTACGGGTCTGGGCTCTTGCTGAGTTGTGTGTGTCAAACTTGAGGTCAGGACGAGAGGAGAGCAGGACTTTGGCAGAGTGCCATAGGCGCTGCCAAGGCCATATTCTTTGTCTGATTTCGACCTTTAAACCTCCTCACAGCAGCAACACAACCCGCAGTCTGAGGGCTGAGACATTCCCGACCAACCAAAAATCTCCTGCCATGCTTCCAAACTTCCATGCTGCGCACGACTCGTCGCAAAGGTCGATCAGCAGCACTGCCCATTCTGCGGTTACATTTGGTTGATCTACCAGATCTTCCTTGGGAGCAGCAGCTCTTCCGGGTCTCGATCTCCAGCTTGCCGGATCACCCAAATTAGCAGTCCCACGTTGTCTTGGATGGAATGGAACTCCGAACCTTATCACTGGACGGCAAGACAAGAATAGATGAATCACTCGCGCTCGTTTTCTTCATTCAGCGCATCATCTGACCCAGGCCATCGGATTCCCTCTGCGTCATTCGACATCTATATCCGATCATTGTCTGAAGCCCCCCGTCGAGACCAAACCGACGCGCCCCAGTTCAGACGCGTCTGTGCCAAGCTGCCATTACCTCAATTGCACGACCGGCTGTTCGTCAGCCTCCCGCGATGGACAATTCTTGTCAGGTCAACAAACTGGGCGCCAGCAGGAGGACGAGAGCTTCGGCCGATTGAATTGTCCGCAGTGGCATCACATCCGCTGCCCGCGACCTGGACCTGCCGAATATGCTCCAGCGCCGTGTCTTGGAATGTCTTAGTATTCGTCGACCAGGCGCTACAGGGCTGGCAGGGTACCTAGTTGATCTGACGTGTTGCAGTTCTGAGACGCCCAAGGTTCCGATCCACGACCCCCTCTGTAATGCTGCACTGGTCCTTCTGAAACGCCATCCCATCGTTCGCCTCCGAATGCCGTGCCACGTCTTCCAAATACTCCATCCGCATGAATGCAGCACCGCCAGCTGGCCTTCACCGACAGACGCAGGAGGCGTCAGAAACAGAACAATGGCTCGTGACAGTTCTCGGCATGGGCGACCGGCGGCCACCTGAGGGCTCAATGGGCCTACCGTGGAACATTTCCAAACGGCGCTGGCCAACGTGAAAGGAGGCTCACGTCGCATCCTGTGGGCTGCAGTGCAACTGCAACCTCACCCTCACATCTCCCGCTCTTGCCATCTGCTGGTTCATCGGACGAAGCTCCGTCCAATCTCCCCCGGCTACCATGTACATCCCATATGCCTGTCCCACCAACCTTGCCCACTTGCCGCACAGTCGCTGACGTCGGCGCCTGGAACCGAGTCCAGAACCTGTTCACAGGCGATACGATCATTCCGTGTCCACAGCGACGCCATTATTTGCTGATTGAGCAGGCCTGCCCTCTCTCATCGTTCGATAGATGAGCTTGTATGGGAAGATTGCTGCAGCCTGCAGGCTGACTCCTGACACCCTGCAGCAGATGAACCTAGTGGACCTCTTGCCCATTTCACCTCATTATCACGGCGATCGCTAAGCCAGTTCCACGCTCTGTACTGTGAGGTGTGGGTGGACTAGCCGCCTCCTTCAATCTTAATGGCGCAGCCGCCACATTCAACCGCTGGCCGCCCATCTGCCGCCAACCGCTCTTGTGCCTTCTGTCGCCCTTCTGGAATGGTGGAAGACCAGAAGCACTGGAACACGCCGCGCGCAGGCCGTTGCCCAAGCACCTACCAACGGCGTTTTGCGAACGCGCACGGGAGAAACGAACGAGGAGGGGACATACATGGTCTGGCATCGCGTCGCCCCTTCGCCCCGAAAACAAAATTGCCGTTCTCTTCTGACAGCCACAAGACCCTGTCAGTCTGACACAATTCCCCTCCACCCGCCCTGCGAAGATTGGCGAGCTCATGATTCCTTTCGGCCAGGGCCCCCTGCACGACGTGACTCTGGGGTCGTTCCCTGATGCTGATCAAAGTCCCAGTCTTCCCACTCCATCAACCTCAAACAAGCGGTACCTCTGGCGAGCTTGCGAGTCAAGCCGGCAAGCAAGCCTTCCCCATCCTTGGTCGTGGAGATCCTCTAGCCACTTGCCACTCTGCCTCGGAGGGGCAATTGGTTGCCAGCGCCGAAATGAAGAAATCAAAAGACTTGTCAGCAAAGAAAAAACAGGGCCCTACGTCCGTCGTCAATCCCGGTCCAGCCACAGGACCCTGCCAACTTGGACATTGCCAATCCCCTCTTTGTTGATGACAGCTGCCATTTCTCCAGGTTTTGATGAAGTTCCCTCTTCTCTACCTTTCTTTCGCTCGAACGTGATTATTGACCTCGGCGGAGATCACAGCACACCCACACCACACCACCCTGAGGCGCTTGTCGGCTGGCAGGCATCGCGCGACACTGCTTGATATTAAGGATGTTCAAGTTCGTCAATCGTTCCAGATCTGTGAAGGGGGTGACGGCGCACGGCCGCGAGGGCCCCGTCCGGGATGACCAGCACCTTGTGTCAAGTTTCCAGTCTCCCCGGCACAAAGCCGACTTCAGTCAAAACGAGGAGAGGCCCTCGGCACCGATCCCCTCGCCAGCTCCATCTTGGGATGCTGGTCGCTCTCACCTTCAACTGCCTTCGCCTCGCCCCTCGCTTCATCCCCGGTCACCTACGATGCCTGATCGGCCAAGCACAAGCTCTGGACCCGGTCCAGCTCCCTCATTCACCTCCGGCAGCAGCATCAAGGACTTTGACAGACGAAAGTCAAAGACAACAGACGACCTTCACGTCCTGACACAGACCTCCAGCCGCGGAACGTACAAGTCATATCATATACCCATAAGGGGGAAACCTCCATCACCAAAAGAGAGCATCCGTGACCCCTCGCCCACGCGGACCATTCTTGTCAGGACTCAGACGCCAGATTCGGTCGACAGCAACAAGGGCATCATCACTATTGGCATGGCAATAGGCAGTCCGACTCACCCGCCTGCACCATCATATCCTGACTGGCCGCCATCAGCGACGGTCGAACCTGCCACATTTTCCCCAGCAATGGACCCAGAACCAGCGGCGGCGGCGATACCTCAGAGGTCCAAATCACAAAGATGGAAACTGTTTGGACGGTCCAAGAGCAAGAGGCAGAAGCCTGACACAACACCAACTCTACCAAATCCACCACAGTCCGGTGGACTGGATCGAAGTAACACCGAGCGCAAGGCGCCTAAGCACACGCCAATCATCGTCAGGTCCATGACTGAGCCTGCCGTAGAGGGACAGGCAAACTTAAACAATCCGGCAGTCGATACACGAAGCAGGTACGCTGAGATTCCGGTACCCAAGCTGGACAAAGCTACGAGTCCGTTCTTGGACGTTGAAATTCCAGATATCAAGATGGAGCGGTACAGTGTCATGTTCGGCAATCTGCTGCAGAACAACACCTCATCCTCCTCCGCGCTTCTTGCCAGGAGACAAGCGACGCTGGACAAGCTGCGAACGATCAACGACAGGATCATTCAAGAGGAAGAATCCAAGGGCCGCACGCTTGGTCGTAGAGCCACATCGCCGAACCATCACGCACGATCGCCGTCGCTCTCCCTCTTCCCGCCGCCTCCATCGGGCAACAGCCTTGCACGCTCCAACACTGACGCACCGACCCCTAGTTCGCCTCGTTTCCGAGCAAGCACTATGCCCTCCGGTCTACCAGCGCACCCCAAGGAGAACGTCGTGTCTCATAAGCAGAACAGTAACACCAGGCCACAACAACCTCGGTCAACGTCGCTCAATCAAACAGCGCAGCATGTCCCCCGTAGGCCCACAGCCTCAGAGCAACGGCAGGATTCCGCCCAGCTCGAGGCTCCAGCTCATGGGTTCTACTTTGGCCCAAATAGCTCCAGCCTGATTCTTGACTCCCCAACGGAAGAGGAGTCCGGCTTTCGTATCAAAGAACAGCTGCGGCCCGCGATCCAGGAGCCAGCGTGGGAAATGATCACGCCCACACCATTGAGCATCAAGAAGGTCTCGACGCCCGCACAAGACTCGCGCTCGCCGTCGCCACGTACAACGCACACCAAGACTCCGTCCGACGACTCGATCGACGACACGGCACTCAATGCTGCTGTCGAAATCTCCATTGCCCGCCAAATCAGCATTTCTCACTCTCAGCGTAAAATGCTTCGTACTGGCACAGGCATCGGTGCCGGCCGCAGGCCTCGCCCAGCGGCCCGTGAGCCCCGTGAAGGTAGTTTGCCCACTGTGGAAGGCAGTGAGAGGCTCGCAGCCACCAAGATGGCAACGCCGACGCTCATTACACCGCCACCCATTCCCCTCGGCGGGTCGCCGCTGGCACAGCATCGCAAGAGCGAACGAATCATCGTGGAAGGCGTTTGATCGGGGCGTACGGCAAGCATTGGGATATTTCTTCAAAACTTCATTCTTCAACAGGGGACGGCTTGGGGCGCCGCATTGGCCATGCATATTTTCGTTTGTTCAAACCATGAAGCGAGGGTTTTTTTTTTTTTGTTTGGCCAGGCGGCCGATGAGTCTGCGACTCATGGGGTTTTGGCATTTCATTTGTCGCATTTTTCTGCCGTAGCATTACGATTGGAGGGACCCGATTGGGATGGGAACAAAATTTTGCGACCTTGAAGGAAGCATTGATACCACTGAAGCGAGGGATGGGGTTTGGTGTTTTTTCATTATCAGCTGGCGGTGACCGGCACTCTAGAGACTGAAGCGAATTCTTGCCGACATCCACTCGATGCTCCATTGGTGCCTTGCGAGATGTTACTTTCGCTGACAAGTGCTTTCATTGTCGCTTGTCATATCATGAGGAAGATATTGAAGGGAAAAGACGTGTGACCTGTCAAACGCCAGGAATATAATAACCGACTCAGGTCAACCATGGGAGAGATTAGGGGCATTTTCGTCCGTAATTCCGTCTCATTAACTACTTTATCACACAGGTGGGTGCTGGCAACGAGATTGATTCAGGTGACTCCGGACGTACCACGATCTGCTCCTGTTTGCAGCAAAGGAACTGACCACGCTGATCATGGGCGCGAAGACGTTTCTCTCGCACACGGTACACCGTTCATCTAGCCCCCGAGTCTCCTAACGCAATCCGAAGGCAAGAGGACAGGGTTTCAACTCGATAATTCCTCGTGTCATGGCGCGTAACGCATCTTCATAAGCGCCATGGAAATCGCTGGCATGAAGTGAAAAAAGCGTTGAAATGGTCAAATCATGGCTACCTGGCATGTGAACTGTATAAAAACGAGCGTCTCTTCCCCTCTCCTCCTGGAACAATGAGTTGCAAACGCTAGACATGGGACCGCGGCCCGTCTCCTCCCCCTCCCTTGCCCCTCGGGATGTGTCCGTTCTCGCCTGAACACACTGATTACGGCCCTCGGCGATCTCTACATCAGCACGCAGCATGAGTTCTGCTTCTTGGCTTGTTCTATCGTTGTTCAGTTAGTCGAGTGCCTCACATATGCGAAATGTACAAGACGAGTAGCCCCCGTGGAGAAGCTGTTGAGAGGTAGGGGGGAACGCACGGTAAAACATTTTGCTCTGGGAGCTCAGGCCATCGCTCTTGGCGACGAGGTCATCAATCTTCTCGCCGCGCTGCAGGACGGACTCGATGGTCTTGTGCAGGACAATCTTGGTCTCGTCGAGCTCCTTCTGGATCTTGAGGATGCTGTCGGCCTGCTGGGGGTCCTGGTACTTGGACAGGTAGTCCTTGAGCTCGGGGAAGGCGAGGGTCGGGTTGCCGGCGGACCAGGTGGAGCGGGGGTGCTTGGCCAGGAATTCGTCGACGCTGTCTTTCCGTCAGGCTTGTCCTTCTTCGCGGCCGTGGAACTTGGGGGAGGGGGGCAACGTACACCTTGGAGAGGAGCTGGTGGGCTACGAGGCTGGGGTATTGGTGGTCGGAGATGATGCTGTGCGAGAGGCGTCAGGTCGGGTTGACATTCAGGGGGTTAGGAGACGGGGGGATGGGCACGCACATGCCGCAGATGCCCTCGCTGCGGCCGAGAGCGTGGAAGGTGTAGTCCTGCTCTTCGACGGACTGGCGCTGGCCGGGGGCGGTGCGCTCGGCGATCGTCTTGGAGAAGAGGGTCATGAATTCGCCATAGCTGAGGAGGTGAAGGAGAGGGGCACAATGGTCAGCCGGACAGGCGGTCGGTGTCGGGTCAGGGTTGGGCGTACTTGTTCTTTGTGAATCGCGAGTAGGCGGACAACTCCTTCTCGCTGACGAGCTCGTGCGCCGGCTTCTCTTGGTTGCGGATGACCTGGGGAAAGGGGGGTGAGGATCAGTCGGTTGTCGTCGGGGTCGGCAGAGGTCTGCGAGAGGCCTGGCGGCAGTGGGATCGAGGGGTCGGACTTACGCCGATGTAGTGAAGCTTCATGGTCTGGAGAGCGGTTAGACTGCGTGCGCTGGCTTGTGGGGGAAATAACTTGGGGGGGCGGGGAGAGACGTAAGACGTACGGCGACTGTATGCTGGTTTGGGGGTCTGGGTTGCGATCGAGGAGGATGTTGGAGGCGTTATCCATCGACCTGCGACCAGGCCGTGGCCGTGACGTTTGGGTTTCTTGGTTTTGCGGCCAGGAGTGCATTGGCATTAATCATGCACTATTTGTGGCTAGCGTCCTTGCCGCTCTTACTTGGGCCAGCCTCCGCTCAGCCAGGCGAAGCACTTGATGATCGAGTTCTTGAACTCACAACCTTGGGAATCTGCGGACTGTTTCAAAGTATTTAAGCTTGCGTATGGCCAGACTGTGTCAACGAAATGGGAAGAAATAATTCTCGTGGTCTGCTCACACGGTGCTCACACACAAATCGGCTGGAAAATGCAATCCGCCATGGGCATCCAAAACGGCCTGCAGCAGTTGCTCATGCACCTTCAAATGAATGAATCGGCTGCCAATTACTCTCTGTCCGATGTGGTCATTGTATCTTTAGAACTCGCAGTGTCTCGGAGATGCAGGCGGGCTATTATGCTCGACAAGGGATATCAGCCTGTGATCAGGGAGCTCGGCATTGCATCCATTGACACACGACAGATCTTTGATCAGCCTGCTGAGTGTATGCCAGCGTCAACCAAAAGACGGATCAAAACTCAGCAATTTTCAACATTGAACGCGTCGAAAGACTTCGAAGACTGCGATGTAACCAATTTCGGGGAGTGTGAATTCCCTGAGACGTTGCATGTTCTTCCGGAGGAGCTCATTCCCATCGTCGCACGTGCAGTACGCATCCAGGGAGACGATCGTGTGATGGCGGAAACTGGTGCGAGCACCCTGCGCCAAATCATTGTTGTCGGCCACTCAATTGCTGGCGATCTGGCCATCTTGAAGAGACTCGGTTTCAACATGCACAAGGAGAAAAACATCGTGGCTATATTGGACATGTATGGCCTCAGCAAAGAGATCCTCACAGTCGCATCGTTGCCGGCATTGTGAAGCTCACGTGGCTCGTGGGGGCAGCTCAGTGCTGTCAAGACCTGAAGCTAATACCTAAGACAGGTGGAAGTCGATTGGGTGCTCCCTCGGAGCACACGTGGTTGAAACTTGATTTTAGGAAGCAAATAGCTTTCAAGTGAATAACAACTCTTATGTGTTCACAAGGTCAACTCTTATTTGAGGCCACCAGTAAGCATTGATGCTGTCTTTGGCACAGGTAGGTAATGTCGATAGCAGATCGGACGATGGAGGGGATATAACATCCTTGGTAGTCGGATTCACCAGTATGGATCTCGTTTTCGGAGACCAAGCGCCCTACCGATGAGATGTCCTGATCACCGACGCCTCAGCATTGCTTGCGAAGTTGCCGTTTTTTTTTTCAGCCAAAATAACTTCCATCTCCCCAACGATTTCCACGGCTCACCCGTAACATCCCTCTTGGCCATGATCAGGTCAGGTCAAGTTGGTCCTAAAGCAGCGAGGCTCTGGAAGTGATCTAGGGGCTTTGGCGGACGCCGACCCACTTTGTCTGCTCATCACATGCCCCTGGCTGTAGCGGTCAGTGCAGGTGGGGTACCGTTGCCAAACAGATGAGTCCTCCAAACAGATGCCTGCCAGGCTGCCAGACGTCGGCATCGATGTGGCGATTACAGGTGTGGCTAGTGCTGAGCTCCGCTATGAGTCCACAACCACAGCACTGCCCTCACCGGTGACTCCAGCAGGCCTGCAGCTGGAAGAGTGATGAGTGATGAGTGATGACACACACAAGACACAACCCTGCACTTGTCCTTCACCAGCCAGCATACCCACTTGAGTCGACGTCGCTTCTCACCAGATACTGAGAGATTCAACACATTTCTTCAGCAATCTCGCCGCCGGCACAGCACCAACGTGGCCTTTCCCAGCACCCGGCCATCACTTTTCATTGACCGACCGACACTGCCTAACCTTTTCCGAACACCCCGCTAGACACCATGGCGTCGAACGGCATCGACGACGCTGAAGCCCAATGGCGAGCTCAATTCGAGGCCATGAAGGCTGCTCTTTCTAGCCTTAACCTCCCTGCCGACGCGAAGCCCACGGAGTTGGATTTTGACGACGACTACGAAGGCTATTCTTCCGGAAATGCCGCTCAGGATGTGTGGGACTTCATCTCTGACGACGATGACGACTACAGCAGCGATCAGCTGGACGGTCCCGACGGTTTCGCCCAGGCAGAAGAGTTCGGCGCCGACTGGTTCGTCGGGAAATGCTCCGAGGTGGCGGCACAGAATGGTCTCTCCAGTGACGCCTTCCAAAACCAGGTCCTCGGGGTATTAACCCTCGACAGAGGTGAGGACGAGGTTCAGTCTCAGCTCACCGATCTCATCGGTTTCGACGATCTTGAATTCATCATCGAGCTCCTCGCTCACCGCAGCAGTATCGTCACTGCCGTTGCGTCCCAGGGCACCCAAGAGGGCCCTGGCGGGCGGAGACTCCTGTCCAAGGCGGAGCGGGACGAAGCTCTTCGCAGGAAGGACTACGAACACAAGACAGCTGTACTCGCCCCTCATGTCAACCGAGAGAACGAGTACCCGCACGTGTACAAGGCACATTCCGCCAACAACAGCCTGAGCCACTCGGGCCGCAAGTACGCGTTGCCTGAGGGCAGCAAGAGGGATGTCTTTGAAAAGTACGAGGAGTACTCGATTCCTGCCGGAAAGAAGGGCACGCTGGGTCCTGGACGAAAACTCGTCAACATTGCCGACATGGACGGCCTTTGCCGGGCCACTTTCAAAGGCTACAAGTCCCTCAACCGCATGCAGAGTCTCGTGCACCCTGTGGCCTACAAGACGAACGAGAATATGCTCATTTGTGCACCTACTGGTGCTGTAAGTTCAGCTACGAAGTTTTCACCAACACAGTTAGCTGATTCTTGCGTAGGGTAAAACGGATGCTGCTATGCTCACCATCCTGCAGACTATCGGCCATTATTGCACACCCAACCCGATCGAAAACCCGTCGGTCACTGACTTCGCCGTCAACTCGGCCGACTTCAAGATTGTCTACGTTGCGCCCATGAAAGCCCTGGCCGCCGAAATAACCGAGAAGCTGGGCAAGCGCCTGGCTTGGCTTGGCATCAAGTGCCGCGAATACACCGGTGACATGCACTTGACTAAATCTGAGATTGTACAGACCCAGATCATCGTGACGACCCCTGAAAAATGGGACGTTGTCACGCGTAAAGGCACGGGCGACACTGAGCTGGTGCAGAAAGTGAGGCTTCTTATCATCGATGAGGTCCACATGTTGCACGATGAGCGTGGTGCCGTTCTCGAGTCCCTTGTCGCCCGAACGGAGCGTCAGGTCGAGAGCACCCAATCTCTCATCCGAATTGTTGGTCTCAGTGCCACGCTGCCCAATTATATCGACGTCGCCGACTTCCTCAAGGTCAACCGCTACATGGGTTTGTTCTATTTCGACGCGTCATTTCGCCCCGTTCCGCTTGAGCAGCACTTCATCGGTGTTAAGGGCAAGGCTGGATCGAAACAATCCAAGGAGAACCTCGACAACGTAGCCTTCGACAAGGTCAAGGAGATGCTGGAGCAGGGACACCAGATCATGGTGTTCGTACATTCCCGCCGAGATACATACATGTCGGCCAAAATGCTGCACGAGAAGGCGGTTGACCAGTTCTGCCTGGACCTTTTCGATCCTAGTGGCCATCCGAAGTACGAAAACGCCGTCCGCGATATGAAATCGTCCAAGGCAAAGGACCTTCGCGAGCTCATCCCCAAAGGTCTGGGTATTCATCACGCTGGCATGGCCCGATCCGACAGGAACTTGATGGAGCGCCTCTTCGGAGAGGGTGTCATTAAGGTTCTTTGCTGTACGGCCACTTTGGCTTGGGGTGTCAACTTGCCAGCCGCAGCTGTCATCATCAAAGGAACGCAGGTGTACAGCGCCCAGGACGGTAAGTTTGTCGACCTAGGAATTCTAGACGTCCTGCAAATCTTTGGTCGTGCTGGTCGACCTCAGTTCGAGGACACTGGTATTGGCATGATCTGCACGACGCTCGACCGCCTCCCACACTACCTTACAGCTGTCACGGAACAGCAACCCATCGAATCCAAGTTTTCGTCAAAACTTGTGGACAATTTGAACGCCGAAATTTCCCTGGGTACCGTCACGTCGATTCCCGAGGCCGTTCAGTGGATTGGCTATTCCTATCTTTTTGTCAGAATGCAGCGGAGCCCCATGACCTACGGTATCGAATGGGCGGAAATCAGGGACGACCCGACTCTCGTCCAGCGACGTCGAAAGTTGGCAATCCAGGCGGCGAAGACTCTCCAACAGAGCCAGATGATCATATTCAACGAGGTGACAGAGGAGCTGCGTAGCAAGGACATTGGACGGATTGCCAGCCAGTTCTATATCCTCCACACGAGCGTGCAAATCTTCAACACCATGATGCAGCCGCATGCGACGGAGGCGGATGTTCTGAAAATGATGAGCATGAGCGGCGAGTTCGATAACATTCAGTCCAGAGACAGCGAAGCGAAGGAGCTGTCATACCTCAAGGACAACGTAGTGCCTTGTGCGGTCGGTGAAGGCATCGACACGCCCCAGGCCAAGACTAATATTCTTCTGCAAGCGTATATCTCGCGGGCGCAGATGGAAGACTTTGCGCTTGGCAATGATCTCAACTACGTGGCGCAGCAGTCTGGACGTATCTGCAGGGCGCTGTTCATGATCGCGCTTAACAGGAGATGGGGACACCAGTGCCTGGTACTTCTGACTCTAGCAAAGTCTATCGAGAGGCGTATCTGGCCATTCCAGCATCCCCTCCATCAGTTCGACTTGGCCAAGTCGGTTCTCAATCAGCTTGACGCCAAGGCGAATCTCACCATCGAGGCCATGCGAGACATGGATCCAGCGGAGATTGGTGGCCTTGTTCACAACCAGGCTGCTGGTAAGAACATTTCACGCATACTGAGCAACTTCCCTACGGTCAGCATTGAAGCGGAGATTGCTCCCCTGAACCGCGATGTGTTGCGGATCAGGCTGTTCATCACGCCTGACTTCCGATGGAATGACCATGTCAATGGCACCTCCGAATCTTACTACATCTGGGTCGAGAACTCGGAAACGTCCGAGATTTACCATCACGAGTTCTTCATTCTGAGCCGCAGGAAACTCAACGACGACCACGAACTCAACTTCACCATTCCCCTGTCCGATCCTCTCCCCACGCAAATCTATGTGCGGGCTGTGTCCGATAGGTGGCTCGGTGCTGAGACGGTGACACCGGTCTCGTTCCAACACCTGATCCGTCCTGACACAGAGAGTTTCTATACCGATCTGCTGAATCTACAACCGCTCTCCATCTCGGCGCTGAAGAACCCTGCCCTGGAGGAGATTTATGCGCAACGATTCCAATACTTCAACCCCATGCAGACGCAAATCTTCCACACGCTTTACAACACCCCCGCCAACGTCCTTCTCGGGTCCCCGACAGGCAGTGGCAAGACAGTGGCTGCCGAGCTCGCGATGTGGTGGGCTTTCAAGGCGCGTCCTGGATCCAAGGTCGTTTATATCGCGCCGATGAAGGCCCTTGTTCGTGAACGAGTCAAGGATTGGGGCGCCCGGCTGGCGAAGCCTCTCGGGTTGAAGCTCGTCGAATTGACTGGTGAGTTCGTTAACTCTGTAGGTTGAAGCTCCTGCTGACAATGGATATAGGTGACAACACTCCCGACACCCGCACCATCAAGGACGCCGATGTGATTATTACCACGCCCGAAAAGTGGGATGGTATCTCCCGTAGCTGGCAGACCCGTGGCTACGTCCGACAGGTCAGCTTGGTCATCATTGACGAGATTCACCTTCTCGCGGGTGATCGAGGTCCGATTCTGGAAATTATCGTTTCCCGTATGAACTACATTGCAGCTTCTACCAAGAACTCTGTCCGTCTACTGGGCATGTCAACAGCTTGCGCGAACGCTTCGGACCTGGGCAACTGG